GTGTGGCCGTTGGCAGCCTCCGTGCACGCGTCCTTCTCAGGGCTGCTTCTGGTGCCTCCAGCGGTGAGGTGGTGCGGGGAAGGCAGGCTCCTGCCCGGGGAGGGTCAGGCACACGCAGAGAGGCAGAGCCGGTGTCACAGCATGGGCAACAAGCCAGCAGGAAGGGCCTGTGGGAAGGGGGGAGCAGGCGTGCACCGCTGAGGACAGCAAGACAGAGCAAGCATGCAGGTGGGGAGGCTGCGCACTTGTGACTTCTGGCAACAGGAGATGGGTTCCTCATCCACCTGCAGCTTCAGCATAGGCATAATGCCCTGAGCGCAGGTGAGGACAAACAAGACCCATCAGGGGACTGGCCAGGAGCAGCTGAGGCTGCAGGAAGGTGGAAAGGCACGTGACAGTTAGAGGAGACTCCTTCCTGCAGGGGCTGGAGGCTTGCTGTTTGCCAAGGGCCTGGATCTGGGATGTTGCAGCAGGGCTGCCAAGGCTTGTCCAGCACTTAGATTGTTACTCTTTACTGCTTTTCTGCGTGGGGACCAGTGATACAGCTAAGGTATCAAGAGTGGCTGCAGAGCCACCTCTGGGTGCGAGGGTGGAAGACATGGAGGCCAGGGTGGTGTCCCCTCAGTCCTGCCAGCAAGGAAGAAAGGTCCAAGCAGAAGTGAACTCACCCAACAGGTCAATGCCTGACTGCGTAGCAGGTGTCACAGATCAGGCTTTTGCTTCTGTGACCACAGGATCCTCTTTGAGGAGCAAGGGTTACTGAGCACAGATGGGATACTTTGAACAAGCAGGGCAAGGCCGTCTTTGCTAACATAGTTAAGGGTGGCTTTAAACTGGGTGTGTTGGGAGAGGGTTACCATAACCTGAGGAGAAGTAAGGACACACAGGGTACAGCAAATATATCTGGACAGAATGACAAGATCTTAAACTTCCCTTGTAAAAAGCAGCACAACTTGAGCCTATTTATTTCAAACACCTATACACCAATGCATGTAGCATGGCGAACAAGCAAGAGGATTTAGAAGTCAGAGCACAGTTGCAGAGCCATGATCTCACTGGGGTTGCAGAGGCATGGTGGGGTAGCTCTCTTAGTGCTGCAAAAGCAGGCTCTTCAGAGGGATACAGGCTCTTCAGGAAAGTTAGGGTGGGCAGGCACGGAGGAGGGGTTGTGCTCCGTGTAAAGGAGTAGCTTCAATGCGTGAAGCTTTGCATTGGGGCAGGGGGTGAAGCAGTTGAGAGCTTGTAGGTAAGGGTCAGAGTACACACCAGCATAGACGATGTTGCAGAAGATGTCTACTGCAGACATTCTGATCAGGAGGAGGAGGTAGATGAAGCATTTAAGCAGCTGGAGAAAGCCTCGCAGTCACAGACCCTGGTACTTTTAGGTGACCTTACCCACCTCAAAGACTATTGGAAGGGCAATATAGCAGGGTACAAGTAATCCAGGAGATTTTTAGAACATACTAAAGACAATTTCGTGATGCAGGTGGTCAGTAAACTAAGGGAGATGCTCTGTTGGACGTGCTGCTCATGGACAAGGAAGAACTGTTGGAGGATCGGGGCAGCTAGCTGCAGGGATCATGAGATTATGGGTTTATGATCCTGAGAGCAGTGAGGAAGACAAACAGCAAAATTGCATCCCTGAACTTCAGAAGAGCAAATTTTAGCCTCTTCAGAAACCTGCTTGGCAGGATCCTGTGGAAAATTGGGAGAGTAAAGGCGCCCGGGAGAGCTTGCTGATCTTCAAGGACATCCTCCTCAGAGCACAAGAACAGTCCATTCCAATGTGCAGAAAGTCAAGTAAGGCTGGCAGAAGGACAGCATAGATGAACATGGAGCTCATACTCAGAAAGTGGAAGCAGGGGCAGGCTATTTGGGAGGAATACAAAGAGACCGAATGAATTACGATTCTCTGAAATAGGCCTGAAGCTTTTTTTTTTCCCTCCTCTTCCTAGATAAAAGCACAGGTGCAATGTCATTGTAATAAGCATAATATTTTTCTTTAAAAAGAACATGATTGCCCTAACCAGTACTACAGTCTGAATTTTTGTCTTTTTCTTGAAAGGAGAACTGTATGCAAGTTCCTCAGTCCAGCAGGCAGTGCAGGACTAACAGTTTGTACCAAAAGGAGACTGGATACCTAAACTTTCTTCTGAATAACAGGCATACTTCTTTTCCAGTTTCAGCTGATTTCTGAATCGCCATTCACTGTTTTGCTCACCATTTGAATGCTTTGAACTGGGAGTCTGTTAGTCTCCATCAGTTCTTAAGATTCTACCTCTAAGAATGCTCCTAAGCTGTTAAATGGTGCAACAACTAGAATTGTGGAGATTCAAACCATCAGCATAGTTCTAGGTACACACCATCCCAGGTAACTTTGAGGTCATCAAGAGATAACAAAGAGTCATAAATGTATTTGTAAAGGGTTAGAGTAGCAAATGCAGACTATTACATGTTATTCTACCATAAAAAGAAATACCAAATAACCACGCAGTTGATGCAGTTTCCCTTTGCTCAGCTTTCCTTTGGCAGCTCCACTGAATACATTTTGTTATGCAGAAAAGAATTTTGAGTTCAACTTCATGTGATGCCTGCTTCAAAAGGAAAAAAAGAACCAGTAAAAATTGTACCTTTCATTCTTTCACAGAAAAGACATTCACAACAGAGACTGAAAACTGTTGTACATGTTAAATAACTGTCTGTTGTAATGATGTTGCAATCATCATATGTCTCCATTTTCTTCCCACTCTGTATAATTTAGACATAATTGCACATACATACATTTGTGATTGAATTGCGGAATGGAAACATTTGCTGTTTGATTATCTTCCATGTTGCTGCACATAACATTTGAAATGCTGCATTTTATCTGAACATTTTAAAACAGCTGAACAAACACCTCAAAATATCAAAGCTCAACAGATATTTTCTACAGCTGATTTATCGTTAAAGGTTTTCCATGCCAGTTTCTCATTGTTTATAACATTAAGTAGTTTCATGAGTTTAAGTGTAATTTCCCACTAATGTGTTCAGTAGTGACCCAGATATAGATAATAGTCTACATTTTAATTGACTAAAGTAATACAGAGCTATGCTTGCTTATCTCATATTTACAAAACTTTGCAAGAACATACGCAATTTTATGGCTGTTAAACGTATGAAACAGCACTCACTAATACTTGAGGCTACAAGATGGACTAATGCTGTCAGAGAATTAAATATTAATCCTCCTGTTTTATACATGGAAGAATAAGCAAAAAATGTTTAAATTTTATAGCTAAAACCACACAACTATAGAGTATAAATCTGCTATTAGAATTCGGTGGTCCTTCTAATCTGGCCTTCTGCTCAGCTTGCTGTAAATTTTGTTTTTTTACAGTTTACATATTAATTTTACTCCATCAGAATTCATTAAATACATTGTCAACGTAGCAATAAAATCGCAACAGAAGCCAAGTAGTCTCACAAAGTAATCCTAAGCAATACTTGCTCAAGAGTAAGTATTACCCCATAAAAGCCAGTTACAGGACATGGCCGTTACACAGCTATAAAGGAACTTGCAGCAGAGTTCGTGAAGTGGCACATTACATAATTCATATTGTATGTTCTTCAGTGGAGATAATGGCCAAACCAGGGTTCAGCCTGAATAGTGCAATTCGCACTACACAAGCAAACTGTTTTCCAATTCAGTATCCCACTGTTTTCTGGGTGGAGGACAAACTCCTTCATACGTGGATTCATAATTTCTTCCAAAGCAGTCAACCTGAAAAAAAAAAAAAAAAAAAGAAGGTAACATTTTTTTAAAAAGTCCTGTTCCCCCTACTTTATAACAAAAACAAAATACTGTTTGGGGAAAGGGGCTTTTGTGTTGCCATGGAATCCAGCCATCACTCAAGGCCAAAATTAGAATTTCCTTGCTCAGATTCTGCATCTTTAAAACATGCAAATATTAAGACTCAAAATGAATAACGTAACCATTACTAGATCTATTGCCAGATTTCTTTGTGAGCAGTTATCGTCACATTTACATCACCCACCAAATTTCAAACGTATTCTCAAACCGTTTCAACTGTGTTGGTTTTTATTAAATAATACTGAATGAGAAGATTCTAGAATCTCTTTGAAAACAAGAAAAAAGAAAAATTTGTTTTTGCATTAAAGTTTAGTGTTAGGTAATGTTTAATGAGGTTAGTATAAGCAAACAGATTAAACTCCAAGAAGCCCAAATCATTTCTCACAGCCATGCTATGGCACATCATTCCAGAGCGGGCCTGCGAAATGCTACCTTCTTAGCAGTCAGTTCCTTCCTTCGTGAGAAAAAGCCTGTCCTATTTTGTGGGTTATGTTAACAATGGTTCATTCCTCCACCAAAACGGTCCATGGCGAGAAGCATGAGCAAGTACGTCTCTTCCGCTTGTAGTTACCTCCAGCAAGGAAGGGGAGAAGAGAGCCAGCTCCACTTTACAGAAGTTCAGTGAATAGGAAACTACAGACCCTTTTGTGTGTGAACAAGTGAAACAGGGATTCAGAAAGTTTTGGTGCAGGACCAAAACTTACGACAGGTCTGAATTAAGCCCCATGAACACGGTGGGGATCTCTCAAAGCACAGGACTCTATTTACTGGACTGGGGATTTTAGATTTGGTTAAATTTATAAAAGGCTAAACCTTGTAATTTTTATTTTAAAATCCATATAATTGGATATTATCATTACAGGTTTGGAATTCTGTAGGCATAGCTACAGCTTTAAATTTTAACAAGGCTGTAATCAGCTTTCTTCTAATGAAAATATTCTCTTTATAACAAAACCTTAATATGTATATCCATTTTGAGATTAGCTGTTTATACTGATACAGAGATAAAGATATGTTTTTAAACAAGACACTTCAAAAAGTCTTCCCTCATAATCCTGCAACACAGAAAGCTGAATTCTTATAGCTCAAAATTACAATTTGCTGAACCCTTGTAGTGTTTTGTCATTTCTGGAAGCTGCTCACAATGATCCAGCTGCAGAGTGTGCACCATCTTTCTGGGCAAGATCTATCTTCTCTTCATTTTCATTTCTCTCAGCCCCTGGATGTCTTCCTCCTGCCTTTGGCTTGTCTTTCCCCATCAGCTTTCTCCTGAGGATTTCTTCCTTCCCTGCACTTTCACATCCATGTTTCTTGATGTGATTTCTCTCTTATCAGGAGCTTTATGAGGGGTACTTACGCTGTCCTCCATGTGCAAAACAGCAGAGAGAAAAACTGGCTTTTCTCCCCACTTCTAAGGTAAGAAGCGAAGCAGTAGAGAATGTGTGTGGGTGGGAGGGCAAGGTAGGAAGTAATAAATTTAGCAAGAGTCCTGCAAATTCTCCTCCTAACAGATCATTGCTGAAATTGACCCCTTGAAAAAATGCTGTAGCAGACAGAGTTTGAATTGAATAGAACCAGAGAAACCTTGAATGAAGTCAGATGTTCTGAAGTAATAAATGGTGTTTAATGGTCTTGAAAACAGATAGGGATGAAAGGGATCCATAAGGCTATATAATTATTCCCCACAAGTGTAACAGCTCTCCAAACAGTATTTCAGTGCACACATCCTGTGAACTCTTTCACAGAAAAGCACTTTCATCACTCTTTTAAGTCTCATTTTCAGATTAGAGCAGGGTAACATCCAAAGGAAAAAAGGAAAGTAACATCACACAGCCGAGCTTGCAAGCAAGGTGGGTACCAAAATGTGTACAGATCTCAAGCTTTGGCCAGTATAGCTCCCTTCTTCCAGGGATCAGCTGCACTCATTTTGCATGTGCAAAAGTCACCCTGAACATTCTGGATGTGGCATCATATGTCAGCAGGACCTATGCTGAATGGCCAACAGGAAAGACTTTTGCCTTGTTAAATTAAAAAGTGCAATATATCTGAAGCAAAATGATTAATGAAGCAGTAGGATGCTGGTACCCTCTGCTAGCGCTAATAAATTTGAGACCTCTGCAGCCTATTTTAATACGAAGAGACACTGATCATAACTTGTCATCTTGTGAACACTTTAATATAAACTCTAGATTCATTACACTTTTATGGAAATTTAAATCAGCCTGGAGTGCAGACCTTCTTCATAATGAGCATGAAGATGCAGAGGGATTTTGATTATTACTAGATATTGGTGGCATCGGGGCCCATAGCTTAGTAATAAGAGGGCTGGGAGCGATTACCGGGTTTCACTAACAAGATTAGGTCAGAGAACTCTTTAAATGCATACCAGAACTTTTCTAAAATCCCAAAAGTAGAATAACGTGCCATCTCATTAGAAATATTTTCATCACAAATTTGTTTTCATGCTCTTTAAATCTTGTAAGGTCTATGTAAATGAATTGTATTAAATACCTCTTGACTGTATGCAAACTTTTCAGTTGCTGCTTTACATTCTCATCTCCACGTGACTATAAAGTGTAATCATTGCTACCTCTCAGCTGTCTCTTGAAATTAACAATAAACCTCCGTCCTCATTCAAACCTCCTTGGACTTAGCAGCAACTTACTGCAACAGTCCCATGTGTGAAAGCAGTACAGTGAGAAATCGGAACTTTGAAACCCTGTGTGACAATAGAGACCAAATTAAAAACAAAGGAAAACAAATTAACCTAATTTTGAGCTGATTCCAGCTTTCAGTAACAATAATTTAGCAATCATGACCCTGAGGCTGGAAAAGAATTGCTGATACAAATTTTGGGACACCAGGAGGTCTATGAGAGGAATGTTAATTTCCATAAAGCAGCAAAGAGAGCTTAGAAGCAAACATTTATTTTTCTAAAAAATATTTTCCAGCATTTAAAGCCTATGGGATTTGCTGCACTTTTTAATGTCTCCATAGCATTAATTCTATGAAAGCTTTCCATTTTATTCTGACGCTTAATTCAACAATCAAACAGCAAGGATGAGGCCTCCAGAACTGTGAGGCAAGGCTGACTGCTGCGCACCTCAGAGCACTAGGCCCAAACTTGAGCTGCCGCATCCCCTCAGTTCCAGTGGGAAATTAGGACATTCACGCTTCCACATCCAAGAAAGATATGACCACTAAAACATGAATCAGCAGGGGAGCTCACAACAGCACATTGGACTGGACCCAGAACAACCATTTTTAATATCATGGTCTCAGAAATCTCAGAATAAGAGCTGAACAAACAAACAAACAAAAGGAATAATTTCCTCTCAAAAGTTTCTATTTTGGTAGAATCTGAAACTCTTTAGGTGAGAGACGAGCCCCTGTGGTATCTAGTCTGGCCTGCCTGCCTCACCAGCACTGCTTGGATCCCTGGAAGCTTCTCTTGCACCCCAAGGTTTTTAAGAAAGTTCCACCAAAGAGTTCACATGTCTGATCTTCCATTCCAGTTCATAAACAAAAACCTTGCAGCAGCCTTAAATCAGGCCTTTACCACACCGCTCCAAGGAAAACAAGAGTGATACAGGTATACAAGTTGTGCAGCCATGACTAGGAAGTCCTTTTAGTACTCTTTAACTCAGATTGAAATAAAAAAGCCTGAGTAATTCATTTTTAACCTCTCTCATCAAGATAAAACTTAATTTTCCGTCTGAAAACTTTGCCAATAAAACTTCCACCCACTCCAGTGTGGAGTTAAAAAATATGGATCTTCTTGCATATTGGAATGTCCAAGGTTTAAATAACTAGAATGCTTTTGGAAGACTTGTGCAAAAAGGTTTAGACCAGTCTGTAACTATAACAGATATGCCTGAAAGCCAACATATGCATATATGTATATATGTATGGCTAGAGAGTAGAAAGAGTATTTCCTGTTTATTTTTAGGTTTTTAAACCTAATACTAAAAGATCTACAAATGCCAAGATACACATACACAACATTCCTATTTTGAGACCTATAGTTGTATTATACAACCTTTATTAATGGCTGAAGTTTGAAGAGCAGCAGTTGATATAACAGTACAAGATAGAGATAGGCCTGAAGAACAGTCTTTAAAATCAAATTTGCACTTTCCCACTTTTTCTGAGGATGGAAGACAACATAAGATTACAGCGTGGTCCGCTCTTTAGATAAAACACACATCTATTAGCATTTAAATTTTCCCAGAAGTCAGGAGTAAAAAGATTATGCTAAAGATTATCTTTTTAAATAGAAAAATAACCATAATGACATCTGATTATAGATCTCTGAAATGAAGATGCTTCGGTGGCCAGAACATCCTGAGACAGCAAATTCCACAGTTCATCAATGTGACAAGTAGGCTGCGTTAAAACTCTTTGTTAAAAATTTAACTGAGCACCTTTTAGCTACAGCCCCTCATTGTGCATGCTTTTTTAAGGGCTTGTTTCTTTTTTTCCAAAGTGGTAAGTAATCCCCTTTCATGCATTATTTTGTTGTTTATCTACATCTAAGTTCATCTGCCTTTTTATCACCTAATCAGTTGTTACTGTGAAATCTTTTTGCAATATCACTTTCATTGACCTGACTTAAATAATAACCAAGCCTTCAGATGAGTGAGCAGATATGAATGCATTAACTTGTCCTGATGAAATATCAACTTTCATACAAATGCCTTCTAAAGTTCAGCTGAAAGCACTTGAAATCTTACACTCCAAATTTGGCACATTCAGCTTTCTAATCCCCAATTTACCATTTCTGATCAATAATTTCCAGAGTTCTCTTAGGAAACTTTTTGAGTAAAGAGTTCATATGAAAATTTTCTGCTATTTTCCTTCCTTCCTTTCTTCACACTTTCTCTGTGCATGTGAACACTTTGTTGTTGTTTACCATTTATTTCACAGCTGGCAGATGTAACAGTCTGGTCAAAACTACCCTATATAATCACTGTTTACATGCAAGGAAAATAGAGAGTCTCAAACACTATTTTGCCTCCTTTTATCTGAATATAGTACCAACAAGATACACTAATCAATATTCTAAGTGTTCATCATTCAGACAATGTCTCACAGAATACACTATGTGTTTGAAAGACAATATTGGTTTATGCAGTTTACTTCAACAGTTTCTCAAAAATGTTCTCTTATATGAAGTGCAGCAAAACGTAGGCCATTTCATAGTAATTTCAACATCCGATTAAGTGTGTGGCTTATATAAGAGGAAAAAAATGAACAAGCCCTAAACCTGATCCGAAGAGAAAGCCTTTTGGTCAAGGCAAAGCATGATATTAGAGCACCTAGTTTCCATGCATAACCCCTGCAGGTTAAAGATGAAGATTAATGGCACAAAAATTAAATACAATTTCTGGCAGTGTTGTACGAAGAATTTAGGTAAACTTTGGACATTCCTTCCCTTTATATGATCATTTATATATCTCATAGTGCACTGACACTGCACAAATACAAAAAAGAAAAGAAATCTCGTAGGCCTAGGAAGGAAAGTGGTCAAAAGTCCGAGATTCAAGTGAAAATATTATTCAGATAGGTGTAGCTCATGAAAAGTATTGTGAGAGCATCAAGACCTAAAATGGCAGAACTGTTATGAATGTCACTGCATATACAAGAGTATATTATTGCCAGTGTATAAAAATAATACAAGTAATATCTACATCCCTTTGTAACTTGCATACACACATTTTATGCTCCATTTTAGTGAGTCAAACATTTAATTCTTTCCTTCAGACTCCTGTTTTCACATTTAAATATATTGAAGTATTTTGCTGAATCTGGAGCTGATACAACTAGGAATTTTCCATCATTTTCACTTTAAAAATGATTGCCATGGTCTGCCGGGAAAACTGTCATCTCATTTATCTCCTTGCTTCTCTTCCAGAGGGATTACTATTTCGAATGTGCTTGAATCATATGAAGCTTTACAGAAATGTTGTATTATTACTAATTTATTGCAACTCTGTAGGGAACTCCCAAATATACGGGAACTACTAAATACCTAAAATAGACACCAACAACGTATAACATCCCCCGCAGAGAATCCTTGTTTTAAGCTACCAGGGAACAAGGAGACTAATTCTAAATCTATATCCAAAAAAATCTCATTTCACAACACACTTAAAATTTGTGAAAAGGTTCCAAATTACCTCTGAGTCAAGAGCGTGCATCTTGCTCCCCTCAGCATCCCAGATGACACAGCAGCAATGGAGTCATCCCTTGCTTTAGAAAATTACACTTCCTGTGGTCAGAAGTGAATCTTGTAAATATGAGAACAACGGTCTTCAAAAGCATTAAAACCTCTATTAACATTTCTCTGCACACTGTGCTCCTCAGTGCTAAACCAAAAGGGAGAGCTGCCTCAGAAGAAAATCTGAAGCCTGGATGCTGAAGGTACTGCCCAGTTACTTCTCCTTAAAATGGAAAGTCAAGCAGAATGAATGCTGCATGTCTTGGAAAAATCTTGCTCTGTTAGGATTTCATGAATTAATTTAAATGATTCAGAGACCTATATTTGATTTCTTAGATTCCTATCTACAGTAAAAAACTATTGGTTTAAGATATAGTGGAATATGACTTAAATTTTCTTATAGGAGCTGTACCTGTTAAAATACATTTAAAATACAAGGTCAACATCTGCTTTGGTTGCTACAGCAGTTGCTAAATGTCATGGATTACTCTTGAGTGGAATTACTGCATGAGGAATAAAAACACATATTGCTATGTACTTTTTGCACTCATGGTAGGAACTGGAAGCCTGACACCAGCCTGCGCCACCATCAGCTGTGAGATTATCCATCCAGCAGGCACCTTCTCATGGTGTTTTGGGCATACCAGCCCTGTCATGATAAATTCTTATCAGAGGTAAAGGAAAATTTATTTTTACAATGAGAGTGTTCACATAGTGAAATATGTTACCCAGAGAAGTTGTGGTATCTCCATCCCTAGGGATACTTAAAAGTCAAACGAACAAGGTCCTGAATAACTATAAAGATAGCTTCGACATTTTCCATGCTCCTAGCAAGAGGTTGCACCAGTGCACCCCCAGATGTCCTGTCCAATCTAATTTATTCTATGAATCTGCAATAGTTTTCTACTGCCAAAGTTAGTTCTACTGTCCCCCCACAAAAAAAGTTTAAATTTGGCTGATTTTTCCTTGTGTTTAATATTTATGTAAGTAGTGGGAATATCCAGCAGTTAAAAATTAATTAGGCTTTATAGCGTTAGGGTCAATTCCTTCTTCTTCCTAAAACATCTTGTGTAAATACAAGTAAGGCATTTGGTTGTTTTTTATTTAATTTCCCACCTCTCTGAAAATGAGGATAGTAGCATTACAGACTGACAACACATCACAAAGCCATTATATGAGTGATTACAGAGCATACTGTGCTTGTTTAACCATAACATTACCCCATGCAAGAAATATACATAGACACAGAGTTATACAGCTTCATGAAAGGAAGAGAAAAATGCTAAACATATAAATGATCAAGACAGAACCATTTCACCAAAGTCTACAGACATCTCAAAACCTTGCAAATTGCTAGTATTAAAGTTATACTACCTAGCACAAAATTCATCTCTCTGATCTAATAAACATGACAAAATTATAGTGTTTATCTTCCCTGCTAATAGTTTACTTCGAGGAGGAAAAAAAAGCTGATATAAAATCCTTATTGCTGAAAAAAGCTACATAAGCACAAGGTCATTTATTCATTAAAAACACAATCTTACCACATTCATTTTTAAATATACTTTGTATATGATATTTTACAATTACTTATGATTTATGCAATAAAGCGATTGCCCAGATAGAAAGGCTAATTACTTTGAAAATACTATATTCTTCTTCATCCACAATATGTGTTTCGGACCTAAGGCATCTCCATATAAACAGACTTGTGGGCCTGAATTGAGTCTCGTGAAAGTCAATGTGATTCTGAGCAGGTGCAGAGCCTGCCAATACAGAGGAGCCAGAGGTAATGATGTGAATCACACATGCATACATTAGAGTATCAGATCCTTATTTTTAACCCAGGAAAAAAACTGCATTTGAATCTGACAACAATATGAAATACATCAACCTTTCAAGGTCAACAGGCTATATGCAGTGCTTGTTGGTGATGTAAAACACTCATTCATTAATGAATATGCAAAGAGTTACAAGTTCATTTTTACTATTTCTTCATAGTTTAAGGATTTTCACTGTTTTTTTTTTTTAAAACCAAAACTCTGTCTTCATTTTAAGCATGCAACATGACAGCATAATCTTTTATTCCCTTAACAATCAAGGCAGCTCTTGATTTAACTTAGGTGAAAATTGGTTCCATAATGGAAAAATTTATCATAATTTTGTCAATATCATCCCTGAGCAATTGCGTTTAACTACACACATTAGACCTTGCTGAATATCATTGGAAACTACATCTCAGTTCCTGCGGATCTTTTCCTTTACTGATATCAGCGACTACTGTCTCTGCATTTTTGTCTTACTCTTCTTCTCTGTGCTGCCAAAAGGGAAAAGCAGATCTTAAAATTAACGTGAGCCCAACTTTCCCCAAAATTCATCCTCAAGCCTACTCTTTTGCCACTGATGAAAACCAGTCTTTATTATGAGCACCAACAGTGACACCCCGTGGTCAATTCCAAATTATACTTAAGAGAACACTTGGGAACACGAGGAATATATTATTTTCTACTCAACACGCATATCTCAAAGTAGTAGCTCGAAGTGAATTTTACATGCACATATTCCTCTTTATGACCCAATGATAAACATGGCAAAAGTTAGAATGGCAAATTAATTTTAATTCTTTCATTTGGATCAATAATAGCTAGCGATAAAAACAAGCTACTGATAAAGGGAAGTAGCAGCTTAGGGATCTCATCATACACTGGAAAAGATGATGAATTTGTAAGACCGCAAGAGAGGACCATTTTCCTAGAGGACGCAAAAATATGAATAACCTATGAGAAACTTAACTAAAAGTTTAATAACTCTATATATAGAGCGTAAGGGAAAGTCAGCCCTTACGACTGCCATCATTGGTGGACTAGCCACCTACTCAGACTTTGACTGTTGTGTACAATCTAAAGAATAGTGTTTTAAAAATGGAAGTAATTACTACCTTTGTATTACTGCCTTTTGTCTTGAAGGACTGAATTCTGTACAGAGTAGCAAGCAGTAGCACACTTGGAATAATGTATGATTCCCACAGTAAAAATTCTCCTGCAAATATTGAACACTGTAACCTATGACAGCACACTGGTAGACTCCTAGAGGGTTTATGGCCTAAGAGAAAGCTACGTGCCAGAAAACAAAATGCAAGAGCTAGAGTCTCTCCTTCCTCTCACAGACTCAGACTTCAGATGAAGAAATTTACAAAGTATGCCAGAGAAAGCAAAGGTCTTCGTATTTTTTCTAGTTATAATTATGATGAACACATCGTGTGTGTGTTAACTAATCGAAAATTTAAGGTAAGAATATGAGGTTTGTTTTTGTAATATAATATTTTGAAACCACACAGTGATTGCTAAACTGCAGTGAAAAATAAGTCATAGCAGTAAATCCTCAGATTTCTTCTAGATTTTATTCAACAGACCTCAGCTTTTAAAAGCTGATACAAATTGTATGATGATCCCTTCTGGTTTTAACCTGAAAGACACAGTCAATGGATTTCCTTTCAGTAATTTCCACAGCAAGATCAATCTCTGCATCCACCAATAGCTGCTGAGCTCTATGAAGATTTAACACTGTAGCCACATTTTGAACTCCAGGGCAATGTAGCAATTAATTATTTAAGTTAATACCTCAAAGAGAATTCAAGACTGAACACTGATTTGCAACCGTATTACCATTTAAGTAGATGAATTACATATAACTGCACCCTCACTTGTAGATGAGTACATACTTTGAATTTATTATTGCTGCCCAAGTAATCAATTTCATATTTGTTCTAATCCATCATGTACATATATTAGACTGAGCACTTATTAAAAGCTTCCCTTAAGATGAGGATGTTCATAATTACATTTCAAACTTCACATACTCTTTAACATAAATTTCTTCATATATTCAGGGTCCACAGACAACAATACTCCTTCTTTACTCCCTTCAGAGTGGGGAAAAAAGTTAGTAACGTGTACTCAGCTGCCCTTTACTTTTTTTTAACTTTTACTTACAGGAATTACTTTCCTCTGAGGCGGTACGTTACAAGGAAGGGCAAATCACACTGTCAGTCCTCACAAACCTGCAAACTCATCCAGCTTGCGATTACTCATGTCCAGCTAGTATAGAAAGCATTTCAACTTCCTTCTGTCTGTAGGATTGTATCAGAGGTGGTAAAGCAGATTTGATATGAGTCTCCATTACTGCTACAAGTCCAAATGTATTCACATCCTATCCAAATCTGGAGCTTATTCAACATTCAAGCATAATAAAATCGTTTTTGCATCTTATAAGACATTTTAAATCATGGTATTTAATGAGAGGACATAAGACTGAAGTACTTGACATTAAAGTAGTTGTTTCAAATACCAATAGAAATTATAGCCATAATACTGAATTCCTCATTAAAATAAATCTGTCTTTAAGAACAACTGATCTCAGCCATACAAAATCAATAGTATTAGAAAAAACCTGAAGTGGGGTCTGAGAGTCATGTGATAAAATGAAATTAATGTCATGAGTGCCACTATTTTTGTTCTTACTGACCTGGTAATTCTAACCTGTTCAATAAATTACACATAAAATACTGAGGGTTACACACCATCTTTCCCCTGCAGATTAACTGTACCAAGCAAAGTGCTTCTGGGAAGAGACATACTACTGTGCAATAGAAGTGCAAGTGAAATGGTCAGTAACAGACCAAATTCCAGCTGGGCTGGGCAATACCGGCTCAGCATTAACAGTGGAGCTGGACGGAGTGAAGCCAATAACTAGTTCTGACATCAGAGGAATGCAATTTGCAGGAATTTCACACTGCAAAGCAGCAGGGAGTTACCAGTCAAAAAATTACATGATCGACCAGATACAGCAAATGCATCCAGACAAGGTCCCATCCACCCTGCAGACAGGAGGCTCCATTTTGCAAGGAGGTGCACAAGGACTGGTGATGTGGGCTTTATCCCTCAGCCTCAGCCCAGTGTCATGTTCACCCCCATGCCAGGAGACACGCAGCAGCAAAGTGGCACGGCTCTTGCAGCACAGTAGAGCCAGGCTCTCCTGTTCCAGCATGGCTGCATGTGAAGGCATCCTTCCCCGTCACCTCCATAACACACCTTTCTCCACTTCCATCTAAATCCTGTAGGCTTCAACAAGCTCAGATATTTCCATAGCTGACTTGTAATCTAGGTAATCTCATGCTGTCAGGGATACA